GTAACGTGGAGCCAAGACGTGCTTGGGACACAAACTCAGGCAAACACAAGGCATCAGAGGTGTTATCAGAAGCTGAAGTTTAAGAATGGGTTTGGACACCTATTTAGGATGAAATAACTTTTCTGTTGACCTGTTTGTGTCTGTGGCTACTATAAAAATAGTATACATGACCAGTTCAGAATTAGAAACCTAAGTTTTAAATGGAAAATATAGTGTTAATTAATACATCATAAGTGCATAATTTGTGTCAGAAAAAATACTTGGGAAATGCAAGGAGTTACAACTTTTTTAAAGTTACTTCTGTATCTGTAATCCATGCATATTTTTGTTTTCATTTTTATAGTCTTCTAGAAATGATAATGTTAGTCTTTAATTTTTGCTCCAATTAGCTGTAATTATATTGACACTTTTAAACATTTGACCTTATTGCTGTGACTATCCTCATTGTATTTTCTTTTGTATGCTTTTTTAACTTGGTAGCATACTTTCTTATGTTCAAAGATGAGCACAAACTGATCTTTTGTTCAGAAAAAAATTGTATGTATATATATATATGCTATTATGTATATGTATATATATACACGTTACTATATATGTGTATATACATATATAATCTTAACATTTAACTCCAGGCTTTAGAAATCAGTGCTTTTACTCATTTGCACAAACACATAGTGACTCACAAACTGAGAGGATGTCTATTAAGTGCTTATATGCCTCTAGTAATCACATTAAACTGAGAAAGGAATAATAATCTGTGCAGAAAATGTACACTTTTTCTATTAATATTTGTCCTTGGCTACTGCGTATCTTGATGGAACTTTGTTTACGCAAATGTATTGCATGAACACTAACATGATCATCCTAGAAGGCAGAGCAGAAATGATGAAAGGACATACAGAACTGCTTACATTGACACACTGCTTGAGGGTCAGACATGTGGGTCTTTTGTGACCTTTTTTCTCTCTTCTCATTGTATGATAGAATTGTATGTAGACAGTAGAGCCCATCTCCTCAGTAAAACAGAAATTTTTCCACCCTCAAATGGTAAAAAAGAACTGCAGGACTTCGGATACCCTTAGTGACTGTGAATTACAGCAGATGTGTGTAACAGGAGCTATTTTGTGTCCAACAAGTGCTTGTTTTTCATGTTTTATCCAGGAGTCACTGAACTTTTTCAGTATCTCCTCTGTAAGTTCTGTTGTGACACACATCAGGATTCCCTTGGCTCAGAAATTCTGGTCAATACTATTATAAATAGTTCTAAGAGTGAAACAACAGAAGTCTTTTTTTTTTTTTTTTTTAATAGTTTACAAGATTTTAAAATTCAAAACAGCTATCTCAGCTATTTGAATAGTGAGGATCTAAAACCTGTATCCATGCTGCTTTTTTAATTAAAATTTTACCCAAAGGAAAACAGCATTCAACAGTATGCCAGTTTCCTCTCTCCAGAAATTGTATAGTGAATTGTTTGCACATACCATAAGGTGCCCCAGCGTCTTGGGTTTTCATATGGTAACTGACTGATCTCTTTTTCCTGCTGTTATGCTTTTGACCTGATTTAATTGATATAAGCAACAGCATTCAGGCTGTACTGATTACCTAAACAGGTAGTAAAAGCAAAAAATTTGAAGGACAAAGCTATCATGTTAATTCTTTTACAAGTATGCCATTGCTATACTGCCAATTAGGGAGTAAACTCACTGGATTCTAGAAGAGAAATGTCATTTCTGGGAGCTCTAAATCTTTGATGTTCATGTATTTTATTAAACAAAACTGATTTTTGCCTAAGATTGGCAATTGTTATCAAAACACACAAATGACAAAATAAAATTTTAGTTTTGGAAAGAAGACTGAATAATTCTCAGTTGTCCACCTTCTGTTAGGAAAGATATAGGAGAACAGTGAAAAAATATAAAAATTGGGTAAGTTAAACTACCTAGAAATGAGACTTTTTTTTTTTTTTAATGGCTAACTATATATATGCTCATTAAAATAATATTCAGATTATGGTAAATGCATCAGTATTTGAAACTGTCCTTGTAGGTGTCCAGGTTATTTTTATGTTACGTGTTGCTTTCTTTGCATAATTTTAAACACTCTTGATGTGTTTTTTCTCTGTAGTTTGTTTTTATAGCATGAATAATAGAAAGAATATAGTAAAGACACTTCTCAAATGATCACTGAGTAGGTAGAAAGAGGGTAAATAGGGGACTGAAATAAAAGACAATAGAATAAAAGGTCACAGTGCAAAAAAGGGGAGAGTAGAAGAGAAACATGAAAATCTGAAGTGATTACAAAAAAAAAAAAAAGCTGAAGATCATATCAGTTAATAAATATTAAAAAGTCTATTTTGGCATGTGAAAAAGAGATGGGAGCTGTTCAGTTTGCTTCCTACACATCACGCTTTTCTTTTGTCTGATATTTGTTATGTGTTTTGGCTTCTTTTTTCTTAGATTTGTATCCCAAAATCCATTTTCTCTGTAATTTCATTTCTACATGAACTCTTTACAGCTATAATGCTTCCCTTTTTTCCCGCTATAATTCTCTCATTCTTTATTAAGTTTCCTCATGTATCATACAACATAATTCAGTTTTCCTAATAATATAAATCAAACTTCAATTTCCATCTTATTTCCATTCATTTCAGTAAGAAACTGTTTTACTCATTAAGAGTAAATTTAAATGTTAAATCACTTAAAAATTATGAAAGGGCACACTGCACAAAAAGTCCAGGCAAAACTTTGTTATATAGGCCTAAATAAAAGACTGGAATTATACTGATAATTTCTTGTGTGAACATGGTAGTTAGTATATATAATGCATTGAATCCTTCAGATTCATTGGCGCTTACTGGTTCACTACAGTGGCCAGATCTTGTGCAACAAATTTCTGCTGAAAGGGACCAGTTCAAAGTAAAAGCAATCAGTGAGCTTGTAGATGGGCAGGGAAGTGATTAGGAATTATATAGGTTATATAGGTTAAAGCCTAAGGTTTAATTTTATTTTCATATCAGAAAATCCATGTATTTTGTTTGCAGTTTGGGAAAAAAAAAAAAAAAAAAAAAAAAAAAAAAAAAAAAAAAAAAAAAAA